CCGATCCTACGATCCGATCCACCAGACCCTCTCACCGATCCTACTTAGGATCCCGATTTTAACAACCTTGATCTGCATATGGATGCATGAAGCTATAAAAGTTTGACACATCCTATCGGACAATTGCTACTTTTAGCTTGATTGTGGCAATTGTGTAAGTTGCTTTGACTTCATAAACTTTACTGGTCTTGGATGGAGGTGATTGTGTCGTGTACATATTGTCAATAAGTAAAAAATAGAAGACAATTGTGTAATTTTCATTTAGGCAGATAGGACAAGAAAAAACTTGTGTAAGTTACTGGTTTTATGTCACGACCCCAAACTGCCCCTAGTAGTTTGGTGCCGTGATGGCCAGTAATCTGGGATTACCGAAGGCCAACCTTCAAGGTCCACACACAATCAGAGTATAAATTATATATGGGGCTCACAAGTGCGGAAGCAATAATTTAAAAAAATACAAGTGGTCCATAAGAGCAGTGTGTAAGTCACATGGAATGGCATACAATTTTACATAATATTACAACTTGGATACAAATACAATAAAGTACAAAGTACATATTACATCTTGATCAAAAGGCTTCTCCAGTCGACAGGTGTAAATTACGAGTATTATAAGCCGAGAAGCATAATTTTCAAGATTGCCGACGTGAACACAAGTTAGGCCGACGTAACAAAAACCCAAAACAAGTTCGCGAGTAACACCTAGGCGTCACCGCCTTCCTGCTCATCACCTACATATATATAGAGAGGGTGAGCTTGGATACTCAGTGAATGGTATAAGTAATAAAGGAGTTTGCATGACTGATATTCAAGATCTTTATCAAACAATACATAACGTAATTAGTGCAAGTCAAAGGATGGACTAAGTCCATCTAGCAAATCTGTCAAATTTCAAGGATGTTTACTAACATCATTATAATACAAGTGATGACATCTCGGCAAACAAACCCACGAGGTAAACCGTCAGTGGCAAACAAGGCAAGACAAGGGAGATATCTCAATTCAATGGTGTCGTTGTATTATAGTCCCCTGACACTAAGGACTTGTGCTACTAATGCTTAGAGTCCCCTAGCACGTACGGACTTTCAAACTTTGTGCTGCAAATGCTTAGAGTCCTCCAGCACGTAAGGACTTCCAAACTTTGTACTACAAATGCTTATAGTCCCTTAGCACGTACGGACTTCCAAACTTTGTGCTATAAATGCTTATAGTCCTTTAGCACGTACAGACTTCCAAACTTTGTGCTACAAATGCTTATAGTCCCTTAGCACGTATGGACTTCCAAGAATGTCATCAAAACAATGTAGTATGTATATTTTCCAACTAGGAATAACCATTCATGCTTACAAATACTTTTCAAAACGAAGCAAAACAAGACTTTTATCAAAGCATTATAACATAGCTTTATTAAAAATATCACTCACTTAGTTCTTCAAACGTCGGGGTCAAGGCAAGTCCAAATCCTACAAACACATGGCAAAGTCTGTTGAATGCACTTTCAAACAAGTTTCACATGCATTGGAAAAGTGTTAGATGAGGAGGTAATGACCTATCTTTCACTTTGTAATGAAATTTTGAATTTCCTTAGAAGACATTTGACTATGAGGTAACTGTTTGATTGATTTCTTCGAATAAGATCTTATATTCCTTGGAAATTTTTTGAAAATAAAATTTGAGTATAGTTCAGAAATTATGGAAGGTTCTTTTCATCGAGTAAAAATCCTTGGGCCACTGTCTTTGAGGGATTCTTAATTTTATGGAGAAATGCCAGACAAGGAAGTGATGACCAAGTCTCTCATTTTGAATAAAATTTTGGTTCCTTTCTAAGATATTTGGCTAAAGGATGATCGTTTGATTAATTCATTGGAATAAAATTCGAACTCCTCAAAACATTTGGTGAATGGTTCCCAATTTGGCCAAATATTCACAGAATTTGGTTTTAAAGTATTCCCCACCCAAGTTAGACCGCAATAATTTAATAGTAGACCCAAACTGTGTAGTGACCATAGATTGGAAAGTACGGTATATCTTGTAGAAGTCAGACTTATAAGTCATAAGATAAACCCCATGTGTAACGGGTGCAATCATCAATAAAAATCACATAGTATGTAGAACCCCTTTTAGTAAGAATAGGAGAGCATCTCCAGACATCAGTATGCACAAGAGAAAAAGGAGAAACAGAAATAGATGTACTTTTATTAAATGGTAAAGCTGACATTTTAGTAAGTTTACACCCCTGACATTCATCAATTTGACTAGGAGAAACTTTACCCAATAATCCTGACTAAGCTAAAGACCATAAGCGGTCAACAGAAAAATGACCGAGGCGAGAATGCCATAAGTAAAACTGAATCGATTGAGAATCTAATTGAAATGAGAAAAGTGCAGCTAGAGAGGTGGATATGCTTTTTGGACACCCGATCCTGCACCAATAGACAGAAGAGGAAAACATAACATCAAAACCAGAGGCATCAAGTTAATTGATTGATAATAAACTGACAGATAACTGAGGGACATAAAGAACAGAAGGAATAGTAACAATAGACATGGCAGAGGGTAAGACAGACCCAATAGACAGAACAGATATACCAGACCCATTAGCAGTATTAACAGTAATAGGAACGGGTGGAGGAATACAGTTTTGAAGTAAGGAAATGTGAGGAGTCATATGATGAGAGGCACCAGAATCAAAAAGCCAGACAGAAGAAGGAATACCTGAAGAGGACCCAAGCAAACCTAAATGAAGAAAGGTAAGAGTAGAGGCAGATGGAAATGGCTGACAGATGGACAGGATATGTTGAAGTTGTGCAACTTGAGCACTCAAGGAAGCCATGTCAGGATCGGGAGTTGGAGTAGATGTAGTATAAGCGGCAGGAGGTCGGAAAGTACCCGAAGTAGGACCATGGAACTGTGTCTGAGTAGACAGAGCAGGCTGACATCCCTTCTTGGGACAGTTGTTCTTCCAATGACCCCTCTGATGGAAAAAAGTACACTCATCTAGCTCTAATGGTCCTTTCTTGGGTTTTGCAGTAGCTTGAAGCTGATGAGGAGGTGGGGTTGATAACAAGGGAGGCCTGGCAGGAGCCAAGAAGACAAAAAAAGGCAAAATCTGACTGGCTGTCTTAAGACGGGTTTCCTCGGAGAGGAGCTCATGAACAATAGCATCCACAGAAGGAAGAGGAGAGCGGTGAAGGATGTCACCTCGGATAGCCTCATACTGATGGGAGAGCTGTTAAGAACTGCACTAAACGATCTTTCCCTCGAAACTCAATATAAGCGTCCACTATCTTGAGACTAGGTGGTTCCATAAGAGCCAACTGATCCCAGAGACCGGTCATCTCAATATTGAAGTCTTGAATAGTTTGATCCTGCTGATGAGCACTCTGAATAGTTGTTTCCAACTCATACCACTTGGCAAAGTTGGACTGCTGATATACACCTAGTAAATAATTCCACACCTCCTTCGCAATACTGTACTTGGAAAATATCATTCCAATACGGTCATCCACAGAATTATGAAACCAAGTCAGAACTTGGGCATTATCGCAATCCCAAGTGTCATAGAAAGTTAGATACCCTTCCGCTTTTGGGTCTGATAGACAAAGAACAGAACCAGAAACAGAAACATAGCTCCATTTTTTTTGACCAAGAAGAAAATTCTTCATAACACTGGCCCAATAGGCATAATTGCCACCGGTGAGTTTGCATTTGATGGCTTGAATTTTAGTATCAGACATTGTAATAAAACAAGGTTTTATGGTGTCCAAGAATAAATAAAACAAATTAATCAGAGGGGTCAAACAGAGAGCTTGATACGAGAGAGATGGCGGAGCTGAATGTCAACGACATATCTGAATAGATCTGAAGAAGAGATGGCGGATCTGAAACGGTGACTACAACGACAGAGAGACCAGGATCGCGAGTCTAGTGAGAGGCGAGGTGAACGGCGACAGAGGCGAGATGATCGGTGGCGATTGTCAACCACGATCGACTTGAACAGAGGCCAAACGAACCAGATGGGTCGACTCGAACCAAGACCAGATGAACCGAACCCAATCTTGAATAAGATGGGTTGCACGTATTCACAAGGTTGAACCAGAGAGTTCAACGAATAAAAATACTTCAACAAAACAGAAAAGCTTCAACAGTGGCTGCTAGGGTTTCGAACCAGGTTCTGATACCATGTAAGTTTTATGAATGAAACTGTATATTAGATTGAATTAATTGAAAAAGAATACACCAATACATCACTTATATAGAATACTAAGTCCTAATTCTAAATGAATACAACACTGATATAGAATTCTAATAGATATAGAACACTAAGTCCTAATCCTAAAAGGAAACACTGAATAGAATAGGCATATTCTCACACTAAGGTCTTCTTAAATTTAACATTATTTTGAATTTTGTGAATTTTGTGGCATATCATGTTACCTGCATTCTTCTAAATTTGTGAAGTTCACTTGTCAGACATTTGATTTGACTCTTTGGATAAATGTGTGGGATGTGTCCGACATCATGTCTAGTTGGACTTGCACTCAACAAGCATATCTAAGTAATAATGTTTACTATATAATTATGCAAATGACTTCCATTTCATGGAATACATGGTCCATGCTAGCTTATAAACTTAATTTTACCCTAAAAAATAAAAGAAGTGTTGAAGAATTTAAAATTCAGCTGTATGGGTCCATGGACATGAGATTTAGATAAACTGAACACATAGACGTGTATCCGTTACCTGTACTCAAGTCGATGTAACATAGGTGGCACGTTTCAAACACAATGGAAGTTTTGTTCATTTTAGATGTGTAGTACCATTGTGAATATAAACACACACACACACACACACACACACATAAATATTATGTGTAGGATGTACATTGAACCCGGGTGCCAAAGTTGGCTAACCCCTAGGGATCTGGTGTTTTCATCTGCACTAATGATCCTTGCTGAAGGAACTGTTTCTCAAAGTGAGTGGGAACTGTTTGTGCTGTTAAAGCCCATACCCTTCAAGAAAGCCTAAGAGATGCCTCTTCAATGAATTCAAAATTGCATTGAAGAAAGGAGGTAGAAGGGTTTGTTGAAGGTATAACCATCACATCACATAGGGGAGATATTGAGCTCTGCACCTATCTTGCAGTTCAGCTTTCGTTGATTTTTTGTTCCTGTCTATGAAGTAGATTTGTTAGCAAAGATAGAAGCACCTATTTGGGAAGACTAACCATTTTTTATTCTTCTTGATATTTGATTTGAGATTCTTTCGTTCTAATTCACCTTGTTTTCATCAAAAAGAGTTGATTGAGCATGTTGTAATGTAAGGGCATTTGTTGTGGGAGGATCTCACATCCTTTCCAGGTTGAAACTTTTTTGCACTTTTATCTTGGTATATATATACTCACGTGCCTTCTTGGTTTCTTGAGGAATTCTCTGAACACGTTATGTTGAGGCATGTCCTCCTCTTGTTGTGTAAGTGGTGAACAGCTATGTAGCCTGGCATGCATGCCCAGTTATAAAGCCAAGTAGGCTGAGAAGCTAAGAAACACATACACTTCTAAGTTGGTGATGTGTTTGTGTTAGACACCGTCAGATGCTCCCGGAGATGCGTCCAAACATGTCATATTATTAAAATAATTACACCCAATTTATTAAAAACGTGTCATATTATTATTTTTAATATTTTAAGAACTTGACACACTTTAGACACTTGAGGGATACATATGTCCATTACTTATAACACGTTGTAAATTTGAAGAATCTAAATAGAGATCCAATGATAAAATTAAACAATGTGAATTTATTGATGTTGGACAATTTAGGAAACTTGTCTAAGCCTGCCTACAATTGTGGTGGTTTTGTTATGAAAAGATTATAGTGTAGAAGATAGATTTATTTGTTTGTAAGAAGGAAGAGGGTGAAATTGAGTTGATTTCTGAAGTGTTAGGTCACAGAATTTGTAGAGAAGCTAGGTTGGATTATCGCGGGTTTCTACTGTGGATTAAAAGGCCAAATGGTACGGCAAAGTGTTAGGAATGAGAAGAAGAGAGAAGGAAAGAGGCACTTCACCCTTGCACTCTCCTACTTTTAACAGGACAAGGACTTCAATTTAGAAACTAAGAATATTTGGTGACTATAAATATTCTAGACCAATTAGGACTCCAAATAAAATTTAAAAAACATTACTTGTATTCCTGTGACCAACTATTATTAAAATTACAAAAGTACGCATAACTACATAAAAATAAAGCTCAAACTAAACCTAAACATGATTAAATAAATCCCCAGGTGCATTTCGTGTGAAATTTCAAGTTTACCCTTTTTCTTTTATCCACACTCGTCATCATTTATACCTATTATAATAATCCCTCTATGTATAGATTTTTTAATTTAAAGAATTGCAAAGTCCAAAACTTACAATTTGTTTGTGAATAAAGCTTTCTAAATAAATATTAAGATTTTTGGTTCACACACTTTTCAGATATGTAGAATGTGAAAAATGATTTCTTACTATTTTGATATAATAAAATATAAACATATTTTCAATTAGAAACAAAAATTTAGATATTATTTTCATATACATATATAAATATATTTATTTGTTGTCATATTCCTCTTAGTTTTTTAAAAATTGCAGTGTCGGCATATTTGTATCGTGTTGTATCCATGTGCTTGTCCATTTCCAGATTTGTTCTCCTTAGTCGGGAAGAGTGGTCTAACCTTAATCCAGAAGCAACCTCCTTTGAGATTCGACCATTTTCCAATTATAAAAATTTCACACCTTGAGAAATTCATTTTGTTGTTAGCATCCTTGGCGGCACGTGTTTGAATCACGTAAATAGCCTCTCCATAAATGGGGGTAAGGCTATGTACATCTTGCTCTCCCCCATGGTCAGCTTTAGCAGGGGCCTCATGCACTGGATCACCCTTTTTTTTCCATTTCAAGTCTTTCAATGCTGCAACATATCTCTAATTGGTTTTGTATTGTGGGTCTTCTTCAAAAAGTCAGAATTAAAGGGAACCTGCATAGAAAGTTGTGATGTCACTGCTTGAAACTGGAGGTATGCATTTTGACTAAACAGCATTGAATTTGATGCAAGTTCTTCAACCAAAGTTGAAAATCTCCTTGTACATCTTTGGGGTTAGTTTATTAGTTTATTTGTGCTCAAAGATAATACCTGTAGGCTGTATCTCTTTAGTGAGGCTGCAAGATAGTATATTTTAGATTTCATGTCAGATGGAAATGGGAAATCTTGTTTCCAACATGCATTGTCAACTCACCTTGGTTACATGGACCCTACCTGTGTACGGATTATATGTGCAGCCCCAGTATCCAAAATTTGTCACTTGGATCTTCTAAATTTTTATGATGTTTGAAGAAGAAAGAGCTAAAATTCATAGTAAAGAAAAATTAGTCTTGCACATGAATGGAAGATAGAAATCTCCTTTTCCTGCTAAATTCCATTTGAAGTACATTCTTGAATAACATCTTATGCAAAATATTACACATGCACAATATATTTAAATGTTCAAGATGTGTCCATGTACCTATACCCAACTTTTTTGGATACATATCCCTATACCTAAGATTTGGGCTTTAGGGATATAGATAAACCTTTAAAGTTTCAGGTCAACTTGGAATGAAAGAAGCTTGTTTCTGCCATCCATTGTTCTTTTTTCACATATCATCTCGACTAAGTTGTGAAGTTTTTGTATGGCATGATGATACTCTTCTTGTTACAGTTTAGTTGCTTTTGTTTGTATTTATTTTTATTTTTTTTTTGAGAGAGTTGCTTTTGTTAAAATCAATATGCACATTGTAGCTTACATATCTAAACATTATTTGACTATCGTTAACCCTGCAGATAACTTCATCCACATTCTAATAGGTTTTTGTTTTCCTCCTCTTTTGCAGACAACTCAAACTAGACTGCAAGTTCTTAGAATCTCAACAGATAATTGATTATAGCCTTTTGTTGGGATTACATTTTAGAGCTCCTGAACAACTGAATGCCTTCTTAGAACCCCCTGATGCACTGCACAAGCATGAGATCTTGCCTCAAACTGATGGTAGATATCCCTTTCTGTTATGTTATGAACATCTTTTGCTGGTAGTTATAGTTATTTTGTTTAGATCCATGGTTGTATTTTTATTTTTTTATTTTATTTTTTGGTTAATTTTTGTTCTTGCAAGATATCTTTAAATATTTTGGCTTGTTGGGTTATATTTATTTTTGTGCCAGTTATTAGACAGTGATAATTTGATTGCGTACTTATTTTATGTTCTAAATTGGTACAGTTCTACAGTATTGATATTGAAGACTAGATAGATACTAGGACATTCTCTATTTATAATATGTGTGCTGGACAATGACATATAAATATTTTCTGTTGCTTATAAGAAATTTTAATACCTGTGTATTAAGAAGCTTCTTCTCTTTCTGTAACCAATAAAAAGATATGCTAGAAGAGACACATGCGTTGTATTTTTATTATTAGAGTTACAATACAGATAATCTGAATGACAAAGGTGCATTGGTGAACAGATGAAACGAGAATTAAGGCTTCTAATGATAATTCATTTCTTTTCATCACCCTGAAGCTTTCTTTCCTTCCTCACAAAATCTGAAATAAGACTAAAGAGATTAATTATGTATTACCATAAAAAATTTAAAAAAATAAAAATGAAACTGTAGAACACCCTCATCAGCATGTGGTTCTTGCCAATTGGGATCAATAATATTGGGCAGGCTTTCTAAATTAATTAACATGATCTCTAAATCCAACCGGTTCAGATTCCTCTTGTGCATTTAGTGCTTTTGTGGGACACTTTTACCTGCTGCTCTCCTTATAAAAGCCTACTATATCTTACACATATGTGGAACTATTGTTTGAAAAAGACAACTGATGTCTCTGATGAGTTAGTAACTACTAAAACAGAATCATTGCTTTCTAACTTTAGTTTTCTTCTGTCATTTAGTTATTTCATTGTTTTCAGCTTATGTTTACTTGCTTTAGGTGCAATCTCACGTGAGATCTCGATTCCTCCGAAGGGTCTGCTCCTAGTTACTCACGAACCAAGCTCTGTCAGCACTGCACCAGGGCCTCACAGTAGAGGAAATACTTTGAGAGCATTCTCTGTAGGGGAGAAGGAAGTTGATCTTCTTCTGCCTGGTGCTGCAAGGTAGCTTGCTTTATTTTTTCATTTATTTATTTTGATAACTAAGATACACAAACAGAAAGGCATCAAAGGGGATGCAGCTGTAGGCTTAATTAAGTTCATGGTCAATTTACTTTGAATTTTGTTAATGTGTGCCCTTAGGGCACATGTTCAAAAGCTTAAGACGATTGTACATTCTTCATGAAAGTGAGTGCAATAAAGAGTGTACAATGTTTTCAAGCTTGCTTAACATGTTCCCTAAAGACACATGTTAACAATACTCTTACTTTATTTTCAACTAATTTAGCTTGTAATAGGCTCTGTTTGGTTCATGTTCACAATGCAGGAAAAGGAAAATAAAATACAAAGAAAACCCTCTTTCCTGTTTGGTTACAATGGCAAATAGTAAAGAAGAGAAAATGTGAAGAATACAAAGTAGAATTTCTTCTTATTAGACGTCATTTTTTTTTTTAATATGTTACTTTCCTTTTTATTTTTCTATATTTTTAACCATTTCAACTTCTAAATTATGAAGAATAACATTTTTCCTTCATTTTTTTATTACATATTTGTCAGAAACTTAAATTTGGTAATAGGGACTTGTTGAACTAGTTTACTACCAAAGCAGTAACTATTTGCAATTTGTTCATGTCATGAGTGCAATTAGGAGTAAACATGACAGTGTACTCGTTTGAATTATTGTCTTTCTATTACATATTTGTCATTAACTTGAAATTTGGTAATAGGGACCCATTGAAATAGTTTACTACCAAAGCATCGTTTATTTACAACTATTTGCAATTTCTTCAGGTTACGAGTGCAATTAGGAGTGAACATGCCGGCCCAGGCTAATCGCAAGCTTCAACCGGATGAGACTGATGCAGAAGTTGAACTTTTTGAGGTTTATGATGTTGTGCTCTATCTTGGCATAATTGATATATTGCAGGAATACAACATGAAAAAGAAAATAGAGCATGCATACAAATCACTGCAATACGATCCTATGTTGATTTCTTCTGTTGAACCCAAGCTTTATTCTGAGCGTTTTATCAAATTTCTGGAGAAAGTTTTCCCCGACCCCGAACAACCTTGAAAGGCAGGAAGATCTTTGTTTTTATTCTGCAAAGTGTCATGGTTTTTTAGGTATGGCTTTTGTTATTTTGCGTGTTTCGCATCAATTCTTTTACCATTCTCCATAAAGTAATGTTATTGCATCATATACAAATGTGCCTTTTTTATTATAAAAAAAAATTAAAAAAAAGTTTGTACAGTAAAATTCAGCAAAGCATTGCTGACTCATATTCAATTCATTTGATTGTATATAATATTGTTACAGTTAATATTCAGAAATGAAGCTGCAATTATTTTGTGATCATATTCAGATAGTACTATTTTGCTTTTGTACATTACAAATAAGAGCTAGTTGAGAATGCTCGGTTTGATTTGATATTTTGTTGTTGGTCTTCTTGTCTTTGCTTGTATGGGCCACAAATAAGAACAGTTGAGAATGCTCAGTTTGATCTGATCTTCTGTGAATTTTAACCAGATAGGATGATGGTACAATTCTCATTCGGACAGTGGGGATCATGTCTACATTTATATGCAACATTGAGCCCAATAATAAGGGATGTGAGGTCAGAAAGAACATACATCGGCTCATTTCTTCAACACCTTGTATACTTTCTTGCTATATGGCCCAGTTCTTGTTGAATTCAGATATGTGGATTTTTCACAAATGGTTTTGTGGGTTATATTAACAATATGTACAGAATCAACCGTTAAAGAATAGAAAAACGCACAGAAAGTGCATTATGTGATTTAGATTTATCTCAAGTGTGACCCACATAACACTTAAGATGGATACGTGAACTATACATTATACTTTTTGTGCATTTTTTGTATTTTAATTTTGTGTAACTATCAATTTGGAAGGATTGGAGAGGGGGATTGGACTCTATGTCCAACCTACCATGGGGTCCATTGTTTAGTTGAGAATTTGTAGGCTGGATTAAGAGTTTCACCGGATTATGAATCCCATATATATTGGACTATTGTGTCCTAAGAGGATGTAGGATAGAAATGATGGGAAAATTCTATTTTTACACATCAAGTTTTCTTACTCTACACACTTAATAAATTTTTTCAGAATTACAATTTTATCCTTTAACAAAATTACTATCTCACCCACCACCATCTCATTCACACATTTCATAATTTTTCCACACACATCTCACTCATTACCATCTCACCAGTCGTTTCACCGCTGGTCATCGCCATAGCAGGCTGAGAATTTGAGATTGGGACACAAAATGCCCTAGATTCACAACTGCCCTACAACATTAATTGATTGAGAAAATTTCAGATCTTGATGTTAAATTGGAATCTGAACCTCATGATTCCAAATATATATATATATATATAGAGAGAGAGAGAGAGAGAGAGAGAGAGAGAGAGAGAGAGAATATGAATGAAAATAAGGAAGTTTCAGATCAATTACAAAATTGAGCCTGTAACTCTTCAATCAAATGTGCAAATCTTCAATGTTGATTACAATATGGATGCATATATATATATATATATGTATAGAGAGAGAGAGAGAGAGAGGTACCTAAAAAAAATGAGAGATCACGAAAAGGAGAGTGGTCACTTTCTTTGTCAATTGTTAGTAGTAAATGTAAAACTTTTGGAACTTCAGTACGAGGGGCCATGTGAGAATGACTGAGAGGTTGGGAAAGGGCGGTGGTTGATGTCGTCGTTGCTGCCGTCGCCGATAGCTGGTGTAGTTAGGATTAAAGTTTTTGGAGCGAAAAAGAATAGAATGAGAAGATGTGCACAGAGAAGGTGAGAGTATATTTGGAATGTAAAGTGTGTGGACTGAGATAAAAAACTAAAAATCAAATTACTAAATGTGTGAATTGAGAAAAGATGTACACAAAGATAATTTGATGTGTGAAAAATAGAATTTCCCAAAATGATGGGATTGGAATCCCACAGGATTAAATTGTAAAATGACACATTTGCTATCCAAATATTTGATTTCATTATGTATTGTGTTTAGTAAAATAAAATAAAATATAAAAATCTCAATTAAAAAATAAAATAAAATAAATTTATTTAATTTTTATTGATGTTTATTTACTTAATTTTTTAAATAAATTTTTATAGATTTTTTATTGATGTTTTATTTTAAGTTTTTGTTGATATTTTATTTCATTTCATTATTTAATTTTTGTTAATTTTTATTTAATTTCATTATTTAATATTTAATATTTTTTATAATAAATTTATTTTAATTTTTATTTTAAAAACACAAATTTTTATTGATTTTTATTTATTTAATTTTTTAAAAATAAAATAAAATAAAATAATTTTTTATTTAATCTATCCAAAAATAATTAAAATATTAAAGACAAATTTAGGCCAAGTTTGGCATGACCTAAATAATACAAAAAGTCATTATCCTATTTAAGTCACACCATCTTATTTAAATTACATCACCTCTCTAATACATCATATCAAATCCAACCCAAACTCAACCCATATAAGCCAATAAGTCAAAAAGTACACTTTTTTAGAACATCTCAAACCAACCCTTAGTATTGCTATTACTTAGTAAACAATTGAAAAGGGTAAAATAGTCTATTAAGCATTTATCCTTCTTCATATCATAATATTACAATCAAATATTAGATTTAATAAAATAGTCATTTCCAAACATCTAATCCTATGATAAAATAAACATGAGATACACATTTTTTTCAACTAAATAGTTTAGAGACTATATATCTCAGAATTAATAGTCGGATAGATTACAATTTATTTTTATCCAATTCGTCTAACCAAACATGACCTTATTGAATTGGGTTTTGGAGTTGTATTGAGATATCTAACTGAAGTGAATGGTGTGGATAAGGGAGATAGATATTATTAGGAAAATTGTGCATTTGGAATCTTTAGAGCATTCGCATCAACCTAGCTAAAGTTATTTTTTAGCTAATTTGATGATACTGTTCATGAAAAACGGGTTTCCATCAAACTCGCTACAGTAGATCGCTAATATATGAGATGAATAGTATCTCGTTACAACAAGCGAGACACTGTTTATCGTCACTTGTTTGTTACTGGATGTCCACTGAGACGTCCGGCTGGTCAATCGGTCAAAGGCAATTTTTTGTTTTTTTTACATTTCTTCCAAATCTATCTTTACAAAGGAACATAAAAATTATTTGGCTAGCAGTTCATTAATTTAATTAAAAAAAGAATAACAAATATTTTAATAGGATTGAATTAGAATAGAGAATTTGATGCAGTGAGTACTAAAATAGCAAAAGTGGATTTTGGATTATAATTTGACTCAAAATTTGTTGAGCCTGATGCGGATGCTCTATGGATTTCAAATAACCTATTTTATCTTGTTATATCAGTTCCACTCACAATAGTCTCCCACATTCATTGTATAAATTTTCAAATAAATAAAAATCATTTTGATGTTTCATTATTATTTCGAAAAACTTTGTAAAGGGACTTTACCTGAGGAAAAGCGATTAGGTTCATGGTTTGAGCCTCTTCTTCTTAAAACTTCCAATCCAACCAAATTCAAACTAAGGCCAAGTTTGGCAAGTTCAGAATAAGTTAAAAAGTCAAAAAGTTATTCAAAAAGTTAAAAAGTTAACACTATTCACCAAAAGTCAACAATTACGGCTGCACAACTCCCAATTCTAATTTTCTCTTACAAAATAATTTTTACAATTTTTTATTACACATTTTTCCATAAAAAGTCAAAAAGTTAACCCAAACATCTATATTTTCTTTCTCAAATTTTTAGTTTAAAAAGACAAAAAGTGCACTTATTTAGGACACCCCAAACAACCCCTAAAAGGTTCAATTTTTATTTGGTATTCTACATTTATATTTTGTTTAATTTAATGTTTTTTTTTTTAATAAATTATTTATAAGTCCTATTTGAAAAACTTATATAAGATATGATCCTATGAAAAAAATTTATAACCCAATAGATCTTGTGAAACACATTCCTATTTAAATAGAACTTCAAACTCTAAAAAAATATTCATAAAAATTCACATTAAATAAGTCTTCTAAATAAGACTTATAAATAATTTTCTCTTTTTATTTTTATCTTCTTAAACATATAAAGCCGTTATAACTTATATTAAAATAAAAAACAAACATAAAAAATAATAATCCATGCAGAACATCACGTCACCATACGAACATGGTATATAGGAGAAGGATAAATTACAAACACACTATTTGAGATTTATTTAAATTATAAATTATTCTTTATAGTTTTAGAAATTACATTATGTCCTCTAAGATTTTTAATTTTATAACAAATAGGTCATTTTGTTAATAAATTATCAAGTTAATTAAGAGTTTTTAATAATGTTAAAATTTTATTTCAATTAATAATTCAGGTAATTTTATTATTATATAGGTGAACAATTATAAATTTCACTTTTTTAATTAATTCTATTAAATAAAAAATTATAACATGGATGTATTTATAATTTTTCAAATCACAGGGAACAATTCATATTTTAAGTAAACTTTAAAGGATGTTTTTGTAATTTACCCATAGGAGAAATATGAGGCCCAAACTGAGAAGTGTTGCACCCCCTCAAATGAGTGCATGTACATCATCACACCTTTGGTCTATTTTTACACGTTGGTTAAAAGTTAATTTTTTTGATTTTTTTTTTGAGTTATATCACTTTTTTTTTTTACATATTTTTTCAAATAAAAAAAACTAAAAATTAAATTTTAATCAACTTCTCAAAATAAACCTTTTTCCTTATCGTAGTGGGTTTTTGAAAAATGAAAACGATTTTCACATTGTTTTAATGTATGTCAAGCGTCAAATTAAATGACTAAATGATTATGGAGTATTTTGAAAAGATAATTAAATTTTTTTTTGACTTTTTTTAATTTTTTTGTGAGTGAGAAAAGTGGATTAAAAGCTGAGGAGCGACTTTTAATTCACTTTCCAAAACTTTTAATCCACTTTCCAAAATAGGCCTAAAATGACTTTGTTTTGTTTTTTTAAAATATAAAGCAGTTATAAAGTATATTAAAATAAAAAAACAAACGGAAAAAATAATAATTAGCATGTTTGGTTTCAATTTTTTAAATTTAATTTTTTATTTTTCATTTTTTTTTTGGTTTTTAGTCAATATTTTTAAAATTTTAAGAAATTTTATTTTTTATTTTTTTAGATACGCTTTACCTAGATGTATCTAAAAAATAAAATATTTATAAAAATATAATTTAAAAAATCAATAAATACACAAAAATACAAAAAATGTAATAAATTTTCTTTTTTTATTTATATTTTTGGGTATTTAGTTAATTTTCTAAAGATTTTTTTCATAATATTATACTTTTAAGTGTATTTATATTAAGTGTATCTAAAAATTAAAAAAATTGCTTATAGTATTTAAAAAAAAAATCAATAAAAAAACAGAAAATAAAAAATTTTAATTTTCTGAAAAGTGAATCTTGAAAATCCAAACCAAACAAGTTGATAATGTTTAGGCTTTGTTTTTTGCATCCGGCTTGTGATTGCTTCTTATTATATATAGTATGCTACCATGAGACGATGCACTTATTTGCTATATCTCTCTAATTGCTCATTATATGGAGGTCTCAATGCCTAAGTTCGAATGATTCTGATCTCTTCATGGGACGGATGTCTCGATTTTTCATGAGATTCCTGTGTTTCTAACTATCTTTTCTAAAAAAATAGCGAAAGATTAGAACATTTGAAAATAGATGATTTGGTTTATATTTATTTGCTTCACATAGTAAAGTTATCAATAATACTACGGTATATGATCATGTCATATTAATAATTCCCACAATATTTTTTAAATTAATCAATAAAGACAAAATAAATTAATTTAGTTAATAAAATAAAATATTAATTTAATTTATAATTATTTTTTTATAATTATTAAATCAACAAAAAAAAGTTAAAATTTATCTCAAATATAACATTTTTAATCAGATTAAATTAATAAAAAAAGGGGCAAATTACATATACCTCCCTCAAGATTTAGCTAAATTACAGATACCTTCCTGAGGTTTCGAAAATTACATCCCGCCCCCTGAAGTTTGTATTTTCATAACAATTTGTCCCATAAGATTTATATTTCATAACAAATTACCCCATAATTTCTTATGCAAATATAACATTCAGGGAAAAATTTGTAATTTCTCAAATCTCAAAAAAATATTTATAATTTAGCCAAATTTCGAGGGAGGTATATGTAATTTGCCCTAAAAAAAATCATACTAAATTAACTCATTCCAAACGGACGGGGCACCCTATCTTATACTGATTATACTAGTGGTAACCCGTGCGATGCACGGAAAAATAAACTATATACATTTTAATATATAATATAATCTTCTTAAATATAATAAAATAAAATATTATATTTAACGTTTATTTTTATTTATTTATAATAAATTATTTTCAAATAGTGTTTTCCCTCCCCTCTCTCTCTCTCTCTGTCATTGAAATTCTTCGAACAGTGTCCATGAAATGGGCACCAATTTCTCAAACAGCACAATTGCACACCATTTTACAGCTACTCATGCAAGACCCACCTCAGTTTTCATCATACGCATCCATTTTTCAGCTCTTGACCGGTCACAAGACTCGCAATTCCCTCAAAATCGGCCAACAAGTTCATGCCCACATGGTCCTCCGAGGCCTCCAACCCAACGCCTTTGTTGGCGCCAAAATGGTTGCAATGTACGCTAGCTCAGGTGATTTAGATTCTGCTGCTCTCACATTCAATCATATTACTCACCCATCATCATCTCTTCTGTATAATTCGATTATTCGTGCATATACTGTATATGGGTACTTCGAAAAGACAATTGAAACTTACTTTCAAATGCATTTTCTTGGACTTACGGCTTGCAATTTTACGTACCCTTTTGTTTTGAAGTCGTGTGCGGACTTATCGAGAATTGGGTTGGGAAGATGCATTCATGGGCAGAGTTTGATAACTGGGTTGGGGTTTGATATGTATGTTGGGACTTCTTTGATTGATATGTATGTGAAATGTGGTGAATTAAGTGATGCTCGTATGGTGTTTGATGAATTGCCCATGAGAGACGTTTCGTCTTGGAATGCTTTGATTGCTGGGTATATGAAAGATGGGATGATTCATGTTGCAGAGGATTTGTTTGGAAGGATGTCCAATAGGAATATTGTTTCTTGGACAGCTATGATATCGGGATACACTCAGAATGGATTGGGGGAACGGGCATTGTGTTTGTTTGAAGAGATGTTGAAGGAGGGTTCGGAGGTAAAGCCGAATTGGGTGACAATTATGAGTGTACTCCCTGCTTGTGCACATTCTGCTGCTCTTGAGCAAGGTCGAAGAATTCACAAGTTTGCTAGGGGTGTTGGTTTAGATTCAAATCCTTCTGTGCAGACTGCGCTGGCTGCAATGTATGCTAAATGTGGGAGCCTCGTTGATTCCCGGTTCTGTTTTGGTCGAATACATCCAAACAAGACAGGTTTGGTTGCTTGGAATACCATGATTACTGCATATTCTTCTCATGGATATGGCGTCGAAGCTGTGATGACTTTTGAGGATATGGTAAGGGCTGGGATTCAACCTGATGCAATCTCATTTACGGGTTTGTTTTCAGGTTGCAGTCATTCTGGTCTTGTCGATACTGGTTTGAAATATTTCAACTGTATGAGTTCAGTTTATTCAGTGGAACCAAGGTATGAACATTATGCTTGTGTTGTGGATCTTTTGGGCCGTGCTGGTCGATTATTGGAAGCAAAGGAGCTCATTTATCAAATGCCAATGCAAGCAGGACCAAGCATTTGGGGTGCATTGTTAGCTGGTTGTAGAAAGTACCGGAATTTGGAGATAGCAGAGATAGCAGCTGGAAAGCTCTTTGTTTTAGAACCGGAGAACAGTGGAAATTATGTTTTGCTCTCAAATATGTACGCAGAAGCTGGGATGTGGGAAGAAGTAAACAATTTGAGAGCTCTATTGAAATGTGAGGGTATGAAGAAGAATCCTGGAAGTAGTTGCATTGAGATCAATGGGAAATCTGACTTGTTTCTTGGAGGAGATAAATCTCACCCACAATCAAAGGAAATTCACTTGTTATTGGAGGCCTAGCCTGAAAAGATAAAGGCAGCTGGGTACATACCAGATACTAGTTTTGCGCTGCATGATGTTAGTGAAGAAGAGAAAGAATGCAACTTAAAGACTCATAGTGAGAAGCTGGCAATTGCATTTGGGCTTCTTAACACAAGCCCAGATACAGTTCTTAGAGTGACGAAAAATCTTCGAACCTGTGGTGACTGCCACACGTTCATAAAATTCATTTAAAAAATCTATAGGCAGGAGATCATTGTGAGAGATGTAAATCGTTTCCATCATTTTAAAGAAGGGTCTTGTTCTTGTGGAGACTATTGGTGATTAAAAGAGAGGTTATTTTCGAAAGGGGTTTTCTCTAAGATACTATTGAGTTCTCACTCCTTTAAGTCGATACTATATTTTGTGGTAAACCGTGACAAGTAATCATGTTTGTCACAAATGTTTTGGCAATGTTTTTATTGGCTATACAGTTTCTCACTAATGCAGTCACTGATATATATATTTTGTATTACATGAATCATCTCATCCATACTTTGTTTTATCTTGTTAGTATTATGATAGGAATGCTGCTAAAAGAAAAGAAGCTGCCAAAGATGCCAAGTGTCGCAAGCAAGAGGATGTCACAAAGCTGGGGAAGGAGTTAGCAAGTAGTTGGAAGTTGGCTAGATTAGCTAGCAGTCAAGTTCTGTTTTGAATATTGGTTACTCTGTTTTGGATGTTAGTTACTGATATGGGCAGGAAAAACAGTTAGAACAGAGAATATTGTATCAATAGAGATCAGAAAGAGGGTGTGGATTGTTTTCTAAAACCTGTATCTTCATTTTTTTTTTATCATGAATAAAACTTTGCAGAAGCAGCCATTGCTCTGCTGATTTTCTTCTCCAATTGCTTCATTTCCCTTTCAACTTCTTATGAAAATCTTGTATTATATTACAGCAGGGGATAATTGGAACTACTTTTAGCAGCATCATACTATAATAAAAATTCACACCAGTTACAACTGTTTTTCTCAGAGGTCTATCCTGTTCATATTACAAAGTGTAATACTGCTATTATTGCATGGATTAAATACACTGTTGGTCCCCAAAGTATGCGCGCTGTTTCATTTTGGTCCCTTATATTTCAGTTGTGTCAATTTGATCTCCAGTTTAAATGTGGACAAAAATAGATTAAGTTGGTGATCAAATTGACACAACTGAAATATTAGGAATCAAAATAACATAGAACACATACTTTGGGGACCAACAGTGTATCACTTGACCTTTTGAAAGCAAGGCTCAATCATCCGAGCAGTCCTTTTTTCTTGATGGTGAAGAGGGTGATAGCAAATAAAACAAAAAAAGTACCAACCAACGCGACAAAGCATTCATCAAATTGGAGGGGGACTCCAAAATCAAAGAGAGGGATGCGGATGTTCATCCCAAGCACACCTGCAGTCACAATGCAAAAATTGATTATTACAAGTGCAATGCTGATGACAACCCCTACTCGCAACAACTGGTTCTGTTTGTCATCCAATATTATGTTGATGTAGTCCTCCGTATCGTCCACGTATTCTCGCATCTGACATATCCAAGAGAGAGTGTGTGTGTATGAGAATAACAGTAATGTTGCGTATTCATAAAAGTACTTAAAATTTGAAATGTATGGATGATATTCATTCTAAATGCAATCTCTACGTTATGAAAAATTTTGTGACTTTTTTAGGACTTCTTTTTGGTTGCTGAGTATGACTCTTGACTATGAAAAATAAAATAACAGGCATAGTGACGTGCACTTATTTCTCACCTAAAGGTTGGTAAACAAAATGAAAATTTTATACATATAAATAGATTTTTTTTTCCTTCAAATTTTCTTATCAGTATACCTCGTTATCTTATGTCTAATGACATGAAATCTAGTAACAAATCTATTAATACATAGCTTAACTTTAAAAATAAAATACTAATAATAATAATAATAATTGAAACAAATAAGAGAGTGTAAGAAATCTCTTGTATATATTGTATCTGACAGTGTAAGAGGAGACTCCATTTATAGGAGCTATTGTTTACAACATCATTATGTTACATTACATAAAATATTAGAAAGTGGCCGAAAGCAGCCGAAAGTGAAGGCGTGCTTTGGCATCCCTCTGGCATCTAGCATCCTATATATAAATATAATATATTAGTATAGCTGTGTGTGTTAATATAATATATATACATATTAATATATGTTAACAGCCCCCCTCAAACTCAAGGAGGACAAACATCAACCAACTGGAGTTTGGAGACAAGGTCAACGAAGCGGCCAGGAGAATGAGCTTTGGTGAAGATATCAGCAGGTTGATCAGCAGAGGAGATTGGATGGAGATGAACGGAGGAGCAGTGGTAGCAGTGGTAGGAGCTGTGATCTGAGAGGAATCTGGAACATGAAGATGGATTATATTAATATATGTTAACAATAATAATAACAATAACAATAACAATAACAACAACAACGTACAGTGGATAGTTTGTTCAACGCTCCATCTAGTTGGACAAAGTATACTTCCAATAACTTCTCCAACTCATAAATCTTTGGCTTCTGTCCACTCCCTCCTCCACTGCTACTTTTGTTGCTCCTTATCTCTTCTTCATCACTGAAACTTACAAGGCTACTTTAGTCATTTTACATTAAAAAAAAAAAATTCCTGATATAATTTGCTAGGATCTTACATTTTTTCAGTTCACGTTTTCTCAATTGATGCACTTCAAATTTTCACACCTTTGGTTCGGAAGCTTAATTAGTACTGAACAAAAATGCATGATATATGTTTGTCCTACCGATTGATCAAAAAATTAAAAAATAAAAAGCCTTAAATATATACATATAGCATGTTAAGTTATTACCTGTAATCTTCTAATACGACAGTGTCATCGTCATCTATGTTATTCTGTTTTGATTCGGAATCTTCAAATTGAGGAGAAAAAAGCTTAGCAGTAAGGTACATTTCCGCCATATCCATATCATCATCCAACAAATGTTCAAGCTCATCTCTCAGCTGGCAACCATAGTAGTATAGAACTCAATTAAAATGCTTATTATCAGCACATGCATCATAAATTGGAGCATTTGAAGTGTGATTTGGTAATGTTAACAATTGTTTTCTGTTTACTAGAACAAGAGAAATATGTTTTTTGTGTTTTTTGGCAAAAAAACATGTTTGGTGTAGTTATTTTCGTAAAGTGTAAAAACAAAAACTCGAACATATGTTTGATATATGAGTTGATTTAGGGATAATTGGCGGAGGATAGGGGTGACTACAAGGGCAGGAGAACCGAGATGCACTAAAAAAATAAAAATAATTGACTAAATTATAAGATGGATGAACAAAAATTCAAAAGAAATTTTAAAAATTAAACAAAACAAGGTCAATTTCTCAAAACTTTTTAAAGTGTAAAGGTTAGCAACAAAGACTATATTTTACCTTACCCTCTCTTTTACATTTTTGACAAATTCTCGATTTTGATCAATCATTATGCAACCCTCCTCTATTCTTAAACCTGAAAATCTTTTATTATTAATTACCTTTTGGACACGGACTGTTATAGCAACCAAACGACTCTTAATAGCTCTGACACGTTGAAGATTGAGTGTACTAACACTTATTGATAACTCATCTAAAGTTGGATACGCTTCTAGCTCCAGTGTGCCCGTCTGAAATAGACAATCAAACACATTAAGCAAAAATCATTCATAAAATTGATCTAAATATTGGCCAATGCATATTTCTTTTTTGACATCCCGATATCAATACATCCAATATACCTGTAGGAATGGCAATCACTTGTGTATCGGCTGGTTCACTATTCACATCAATTCATAGTTGATTCATAATCAATACAATTTGGTTAATAATTTTAAAAATTCACAATCGCATCACCTGATTCCTAATACATATTACGCTATGACCAATACTGATTCATCTTCCCATACCACTATTTAAAACCTTCCAACCATTATTTTGGAGGGAAGAAGCAAATATATGTTGGATTTCCTTGGTTGCCAAATAAATCATCATTGATACACATTTTAAAAAAATAATAATAATTATTTAAAAAAAAAAAAATCACATACCTCTGATTCAAGACACCTACAAACAAACTTTAGGCAGATTTCAAGCACTCTGAACTCAAAAGGTGGTACCTTTGAGCTGCCCACCTTTGATGATGTGTTGAACGAAATTTTAGGACTGTTGTCGCCACTTGCTTCTTGTGGCACCCCCACCTTAGATGGTAATGGTGTGTCCTCTATTGTCTTTTCACTTCCGTCAATCCCCTTTGCAGTGAAAGAAGATTATCAATTTACTTACATTTTTAAAATGATCATCAATCTTAAGAATGCACTTAGAATCCCATATACAAACAATTTTTTTCAGTCCCTTTAAAAGCATATTTGTATATGAATTATTACTTTCAACCACCATTAAGCAATATATATAATCAGTTGTCATATATATTAGTTGAATCTATTTAGAAAGGAATCAATCAACAAACATGTATATATATATATATATTATAGAAACGGATACAGAAAGCACAATAGCCCCACTAGTCAGATGATGGTTAGCTGTTTTTTTCCATCGACATTCCCACTGTCTAATTTGTCAAACCACTGTGACTTCTGTGTTCGTTTCTATAAATATTATATATATTGTGTATTCATAGACCATTGTTTATAAAAGTTTATTTTATTTCAGATAAGTTTTTTTTTTTTTTTTAAAGATTTTTATTGAAGTAAATGATTGTAATCTATATTTTCTTTTCTCACACTCAACGGAACAACATTAGCAAAAACCAAAACAGTTGACGCACTAGCAAATATCATATTGATGCACCAAAAACACCAGTGACCACATTATTTATTTAGTAGAAGTAGATTCCTCACAAAAGATAAGTAATTTTTTATTTTTTTACTAATAAAAAAAACTTACAGTATTAACATTACAGAGTTTGAGCTCAAGATCCTGAACAAAAGGAGCAACACCAGGATCTTTGGGATTAAGAACAAGCATTTCATTTGCAGTGATGATAGCTTTAATATGCTCCAAGTTCACCACAATTGCCCTCTCTCTCCCAAGTATCGTAGACGGATACGAAAGCGTAGGATCAAGAATCCTCAAATCGCGAGCAGGAATCCCCGTCCTGCGCATGATCGAGTGCTTCCCAACCTCTTCGATCCGTGACTTCCCCACTTGCGGAACCACAAGCCACTGCTTCGTCACGACACCCTTTGGCCGCCTTGCCAACGTTGTCGAAGTGATCTCCTTATTGGAATCCTCCATTGTTGTGATCATTTCTTGGTCTTCGGTGTTGGAGAGGGTTGAATTTTGGAGTTAGGTGGTGCAAAGAAATGAAATCATGATTCAATTCTACACAATATGTAATGAGATAAAACCTCTATTTTGGTTTTAAAAAACACTTTTTTGTTGGTTCATTAGGTGTAAATGTTTATCTATGGCGGGAAAGTCTGTTAACTAGGGATGGTTACAACTTCCCCACATGGGTTTTGGTGGGTAGGGTTCAAGTGAGGGACCTCTCTTTATCTATGGCGGGAAAGTTTGTTGACTAGGGATGGTTACAACTTGCCCATATGGGTTTTAGTGGGTAGGGTTCAAGTGAGGCACCTCTCTCTCTCTCTCCACCATAAATCAAGCACGCAATCTAGATCTCTTGCAAAGTCCAAGTGATTATAGTAATGTTGTTTTTAACATTCTACGGCAAGTAGGTAGGTATATATCTCCATGCCGAGATTAAATTATTAACGGATGAGCCGTAAACTCTTTGTGTACGGTTATCCAATGACCATGCAATACGTGTTTAATATCATTAAACATTTACTTCTGTTAGCTGTTTGACCAAACTTGAGGAATTTTTTTTTTGAGAAAATGGGATCTGGTGATGTTGTCTTCATTATTACTACTGTTGAAGCCATCTATACATAGCCGGAAAAATTGAAGAGTGTTTTTCCGGCATCAACAGTTTTCGGCAATGATGACGGTAAAGTAGAGAGCTTCAGGGTTAAAAGCAAGAGGTTGGGTGAAGTTGAGATCGGTCATTTTTAAAGATGGAGTGACAGGAAGCAGTTGGACAGACGAGCTTGGGTGAATTGTCGGATTCCTTTTTATTTCTACTCTACAAAGTTGTCTCCGGCGAATGGAACACTATTGGGCTTTGTGGAAAAGTGAGAGCCTGATCTAAACGGAAGGGAATGTGACATTGACAGTGAAGAGTCTACATTTGCCAAAGTTGAAGATATCAACTTCACAATTAAGTTGACCTATTATCCATGTTCATCTCTACACAGTCGACAATACATTCTCCTTTCTCATCTTTCCTTCATCTACCCTTGCACGGTGAGTTTAGAGTTATTAAAATTGAAGATCTCAATTCTACGGATAAAATTAGTGAATTGTGAGATTAATGTATACTTATGTTAATGATTTAAACTATTTATTTTATATAACAAGTTGATAAGAACATAAATACAAAAAATTAGATTGATGATATATAAGTAATTACATGATTAAATCAAATAAATATTATAATACATAAAAGGTATATTCTTAAAAATATGAAAGGCTTATACATAACACTAAATAATATGACAATGGATGATAAATTAATTTAATTTTTTTGTACTAATAATTTTACGAGAAAATGATGTATAAAGAGTATGTTCATCACGGAATAGAGATTATGGATCGGTTCTTGCCAGTTGATATTTGGACGGGCTACAAAGATACGCTGTTATAAAATGTTAGAAGTATTCAGAAAGCTGCGATATATTTAGTGGCTGCCACTGTTAGTAGAAAAGAATGCAAAATTACGTTAAGAAGTCAAATGTACTTTAAAATTGTTTAAAATTATAGGTTTATGTATTTTTATTTGTAATATTCAGGTGGATAGAGGTGGACGATATAAAAACTGGTGTTGTTAAAGGTGTTTCAGCAAGTGATTTCAGTTCTATTGAACTTGCTTTGCCTAATTTATTTTTTCATTTGAGATTGAGATATAAACAAAAGAGTATTAAGGTTGATAAAATATTATGCGTACTCAATATCAATGGGTTGGTCAGAGTAAATGTGTACGATCGGAAGTTAGATGGCAATGACGGTTTATAGGTGTATTTTGTTTTTCCCGTGGACTATTAGTGCAAATTAGTGTATAATGGGAATGGTTATTGTTCCATTAATGATAAACAAGTGCCATGGGTTGTTAAGTATTGACTTGAAGATTCGAATATTAAAAGAGGTGTAACATATTGTAAAATGAAGGGTATTTGAAGTATTCTACGAATAAGATGCCAGAAAATTAGCAAATGAGAGTCCCATCTATTGTTGTGTTATCTAAAAAATTATACGACAACGAATGTGGATGTTTGGCATTGTGACTCGACCAAAGCTGTTCTGATTCTTGCACGGACTACATCTGTTGGTTTACTTGAGAGGCAGAGAGATTTGCTGTTGGGAGGTTTTGGGGAAAGTAGTTCAATTATTGATGAATGAAGAGGTCGTCTCAGCTTGTCTAAGATCGATATACGCAGATCTAGAGGTGGTGATGGTACTAGCGATATTGATCATGGTCTATCAATTTCAAAGGCTGGTGTTGTTAAGAAAAACGAAGTTGATAAGAGATGGTCCGTTGTTATGGATGGTCCAGAATTTTCTGATGTTTTACGAAATATAATCATGAGTGTGAAGAAGAATGACGATATTGTCATTGATGATAAGGGAAATGTAATAAGTAAATAAAAGTTTAAATGGTTATATAAATAAAATTAATAAAAATTTTCATTAATCATGACAGTGGTTACATTTACATTAAACCATTCTCTCATTTTTTGGGACATTATATCTAACCAACTACTGTCCCCATTAGTTAATATAATATAAGGAATTTCTCCTCTAATGGTGAGATCTGGTTGGAATTTAACAAATACATGGAAGTCTTTCTGATAACCTACTAAATTCTTCATTAGTTCGGTTGAGACTGTCGAGTATTTAGGCCAAGTTTGGCATGTCCAAGAAAAGTCAAAAAGCCAAAAAGTTACTCAAAAAATTAAAAAGTTAACACTATTCACCAAAAGTCAACAATTACGGCTGCACAACTCCCAATCCTAATTTTCTCCTACAAACCAATTTTTACAATTTTTTATTACACATTTTTCATAAAAAGTCGAAAAGTTAACCCAAACATCTATATTTTCTTCCTCAATTTTTTAGTCCAAAAAGACAAAAAGTGCACTTGTTTAAGACACCCCAAACAACCCCTTAATGTTGTCTATGACATTGTAGACGGCGTCTTGATCGTAATCTTTGAAACTCAATCTGCTAGAGAAGTAATTGTGTCGTCCGAGACTTTTAGCCTAGACAGTTTTTCCTATTCTCGAAGGTCCTTCGAGGTAAAGGGAAATTGGGTAGATGGGCCGCTGTTCTGGATCCTGTGGTCAGAGGATGATGAGAGTTTTTCGTTAGTATGTAAATCGTTGATATTATTTTTGTGTATTCCTAATCTAATCTAGTCGTCTTCATTTCAAACCAAGAGAGAACAATTTTGACATAGCTCGTATTTTACAAAATTTTGACTTACAAGCAAAATATTATTTTCAGCCTAATTTTTTACTTCTTCATTTAAAAAAGGAAATGAATTAAAGGGACTAGCATATAGAGGCCGCTCTTGTTTGTAATGAAAATATTTTTAACTAGGGGTATTTTCTAACGTAATCGGCGAGATATCTTTCTTTGCAGAGTGCAAAGAATTGTTCATCTATTTCTGCTTATGCAAGTATTTCCCACCATAGTTCATCTCTGTTGGGATTTTTCCCCTTAGATGAAAATTCTCCCCATTCTATGAAATCGCCCTTTTCTATATATAATGTCAACTTGTTGTTGGAGAATAAAATTTTTCTATATTTGGATGATAGATTCTCCCATTGGTTTTGATGAGATCAAAAAATCTCTAGTTGGAGGTTTGGATTTTCTTTGTGCATTGAACCATGGCATGAAGATAAGGGTTTCCATCTTTGTAAAGCTCCCTTACAACAAGTATGTAGTATGGAAGACATGCTAGTTGGAGAAGGGACTAGAGGAGCTCTAGGAGTTGTTCTTTTGGGCAAGGGCATTGTGGGTAGGTGAGGAGAACATTCTTGGCATAGAAACGAAAAGAGGCTTAGCGAGACATTTTGTAGTAGTAAATAGTAAACTCACACCAGTCGTACAAGGGCTTCATATTACTTAAAAAAACTTAGGGTAGATGGTGTGAGTTAGGGAGCGCTGTATTAATATTACCAGTCCCCCCTCCCTGGGCATTGATATGAGCCGTCCATTCATCGATTATTGACACGTGTATGGATGTAGTTAAAAGGAAGTCACACCCGGGCCCAAGTGCGAGTGGTGTGAGTACTTTTGATTCCTTTGTCAGGTAATGCTTTACACGTGTCACGTTTGCGGCGATTTGCATGGTTTTAAAGTAAAGATATTTTCAGACTGAGTGATATAAAGCAAAGGTTGAAAAATTATTGTGTTTTTGAATTCTTTTGAATTGAGAATCTTCGTCCTTACTCATGAACCAATTTCGCTATTTATTTGGTACCATAATACATATACCTGTATAGAGGAATATACTTTTGCAGTGGGATAGCTATTGTGGTGACGTTATTTTCTGGTACCTTTTCGTCCCTCATTTTCTGTCATTTTTTGTTGTTGATTATATTGGTATACAATGTTGTACCGCTTAGAAAAGTATTCTGAGAATTATAAGCAGTCCACTCAAATGGGTGTAGATCGTTTTTTGACGTGACAAATAAGACTGTGGGAAGAAAGTCGACAGTTAGTTTCGACAAAGTTTGTTAATGGGTACGAGGAACAGAGGGCAAAAATATCAAAGCTGAGGTGTTTGAACAGAAAGGTTAACAGAGGTAACAGATCTTGTAGAAGTGTTCAGATAAAAGATTTGGAGTTTTTTTTTATATAAAAAATAGAAGAAGTAATAAGCAGCCAGTATCAGACTCCCCTTGCGTACCAGAGGTCAAGGACACCGGCGACTAGTGGATATAAGTGTAGTTACCGTGGTCATACACCTTTTAGGGCGGCGCACATTTGCAGATGATACGTTCAAAATATTTCGTGATATATTAAGAAGACTAAGAGGGAAGTGAGAAAGTTACAATTGTACGGTGAACAATTAAGGGACGTTAAATTTGATAATAAATGTGTGGCGAGATTGCTGAATGGTATTGAGTTGGGTACTAAAAGATGTGACCGTCAATCAAACAAGATCGTGATTAAGAGACTAGTCAGGATCAACAATTTAGGTCTTAGGAGGTGTACAGAGGAAAGAAAAAGAAATCTTTGTCCACCTTTGCTGAGTTGTCATCCATTAATTGGTTGACGTGCAAAACTCAATCTCATGTATGCCTATTAACAAAATAAAAAATGCTTGAGACCCT